GACTGCCAACGTTCTCACCGCAGTAAACGCACAGAAGCACAGAGCCGGGGGACACCGAGGCACCGGGCCTTCCGGGAGCTGAAGAAGCCACCGGCTCTCAGAAACGCAGAAGGGCGGGCGTGGTGAGTACAGCCACTGGGGAGGCTGAGGCAGGAGGATCCCTGCGAGTTCGAGGCCAGCCTGCGCTGCACAGTGAGCTCAGGGCCGGCCCGGACTGCACACCGAGACCCTGCCTCAAAAAAAGACCAAAACAAACAAACCAACAAACAAAAGTATTAAAAAGATCCAAAGTTCCCGTTGGGGTTCTGCTGAGGTCAATTTCCAACTGGTGTAAAACCCAGGGACAGAGGACCACTGAGGTACACAGACAGACAGATGACTGATGACGGACAGATCGATGGTAAAGCCGATAAACTAGATATAGATGATTGATACACAGGATGGACAGATAGCTGATTGACTGATAGATAGTAAGGATGCACAGACAGACATAAGTTTGCAAGAATCAAAGGTTCTACAATAGAAAAATGCACAATTCTAACTTAAAAAAGGTAAATGAGATGATGTATAATAATTTAATCATTAATTAATTAATTAATTAATAATTTAATCATTCTGCTCTGCACAGCCACCTGACAACCCCACTGTGCCGTGTAAATTCCCGGGAAGGGGGTGAGATCGGGTCTCGCTATGGAGCCCAGGCTGGCCTCAAACTCAGTGAGATCCTCCTGCCTCAGCCCCCTGGGTGCTGGGATGACAGGCGCGTGCCCCACACGCCCAGCTAATGTATATGATTGCCGTTTGTCGACTGAATATATAACGGTATGCCGGGCAGGGGGGTGCGGCTTACTGATAGAACCCGGGCACAGCATTCCTGGGGCTCTGGGTTTGATTCCCTGTGCAAAAAATCAGTAAGCACGCAAGCAAGCAGCTTGGTAGCCGGGAGAGGCGTCCCAGGCTGTCACCCCAGACCTCGGGAGGCTGAGGCAGGAGGGTCCCAAGCTCAAGCTGAGTGTGGGTTGTTCAGTGACACTGTTCCAAAACTTACAAAGGACCAGAGTTTCTCACCAGAGCCAAGGGCCTGGGGTCAGTTCCCTGAGAGGGAGGGGAGGAGGGAGGGGATGAGGGAGGGGAGGAGAGAGGGGAGGAGGGAGGGGAGGGCGGGGAGAAATCTGGAAAACAAACCACCATGCTTGGAACAGCTGCGTGTACATAAGGTGTGCAGACTTTAAATCTGCTCTGGTTCCGAGCAGGGCCGTTATGCAGCACCTGCGGTCACCAGCGCCACACTGGGGTGATCAGAAACCCGGTGACGGCCGCTGCCGAGCGCCATCCAGCCGAAAGGCAGCTGTAAACACCTGACACCGGGTCCCCGTCCACCTCGGTCCTGGAGCTGGCCCCGAGCGACTCCCGGCTGCTCCCCAAGGTCACAGTGACCGGGAAAGGTCAGGTCCATTCGGGACACAGAGGCGGCCAGGAGGGCGCAGCTAAAGCCCCCGAGCACAGAGCACCCCGAGCTGCTAGGAGAGAGGCCGGGATCTGGGGGAGCTGGGGGAGCCGGGCAGGGCCGGGGGGACTCGGGGGTCCCTGGCTGGGCGTGTTTTACTGTAACTGATTGTTTAGAACGTCAACACTCACATACTCACCCCGGGAATGTGGGGGCCGCTCCTGTCACCCCAGCACTGGGGAGGCCGAGGCAGGAGGATCCCTGCCAGGTCACAACCAGCCTGGGCTACCAAGCGAGTGTCAAGTTTGAGACAGAGTCTTGGCTCAATCAGTAAACCCCCCAAGCAATTCGCAGGATGCAATTGGAGACCCTCCCGCCTCGGCCTCCCCAGTGCCAGGATTCCGGGTGCACCGAGCTGACTGTTATTAGTCTACGGCACATGTCACCTGCTTCCTAAATGTCCCTCTGGACCTCTAGTAAGTGATAGGTTGCTATAAGCCACATAAATAACAGGCCCTGGGGCTGGGGAAGTCCTTACTTTTTGTGAGAATTAAAACTTTCTACCATCTAGCCGGGCGTGGTGGCGCACAGCTGTCATCCAGACACTCAGGAGGCTGAGGCAGGAGGGTCTCTGCGAGCTCGAGACCAGCCTGGACTGCACAGCGGGACCCCGTCTCAAAAAGACAGAAAAAAACCCCAAAAACTTTCTACCATCAAGAAGTCTGACATTTTCAAGTTTTCGGGTCCAGCCTGGGCAACCGAGGCACGCCCTGTCTGAAAATTAAAGACAAGAAATTTTAAGACAGCGGGGGTTAGGCAAGCCACTGGGGGCCCTGTCTCCTCTGTCTGTCTGTCTGTCTGAGCTTTCTTTCTCTAAATGAATATATTCTGCTCTCTGAAAAACAAAAACACAGAGCCGGGCGTGGGACTCGGTGTGAAGGCCCCGCCCGGGTCCCCAAAGCCACAGGAAAAAATCTACAAGGTGTGGAACAGATAGATCCTCAACCGCAGGAAACACAAAAATCATCAAAACGTACACAGCCGGGCAGACGCCATCCTGCTTCCATCTTTCCCCGCCGTTCACAGATCTAGAAATATTTTCAGTCAATTAAAAACAGAACCCAGGGGCCGGGGACTGAGCCCAGCGGCACCAGCACCTGCCTGGCAAACACCAGGTCGGGGGTTCCTGATGTCCACTGCAGGAACCCAAAATAAAATCAAACCCAGGGCTGCAGCTCCGTGGGGGAGCTACCCCCGTGAGGCCCTGGGTTTGATCCATCTCTGCAAATAATAATGATAATACTAAAAATTAAAGAAAGTCTAAAGTCGGGTGATGGTGCATGTTTTTAATCTGGCACTCGGGAGGCTGAGGCAGGAGGATCGCTGTGAGTTCAAGGCCGGCTTTGGGGTCACTGTGAACTCTAGGCCAGACCGGACTGCACCGAGACCCTGTCTCAAAAAAATAATAATAAATATAAATTTTATAAAGTCTACGTGCCTTTGATAGCAATATGCAATTGGCTTCTTACGACTGAGTCTATTTTGAATTCCTTTCGCTTCTAACAAGGTGAATAAACACGGTTCAGGAAAAAGCACTTTAGGGTCCACATTGAAAAGCTCAAGGATTTGCCTCCCTCCCTACCGAAGCCAGCGCCCCGCTGGCCGCGTTCACAAACACAGTAACAATTTACTTTGTCGACTGACTGCTTTCTGCGGCGCACTCTGCAAACTCCACCGCGCACCGGGTCCAAAAAGCCTTCCAGCCCGAGCTGTGCTGCAAATCTGCCGCTGGGCTCTGCAGGGTTATAAATTTTGTGTCCTTTGCAAAGGGTCAGATCCAGGCCTTGCCCAGGCAGCCTGGTCTCCCGGGGTCCAAACACACCTGATGCAATTCTAAAAATTGTAAATAAACCACGTGCAAAGCAAATCCTAAACGCAGGCCCTGTGTGAAGGCCTTCAGGACACGCCCACGGGCTGAGATCCTCGAGTTTGGACCGTAAGCAAAAATAAAACATAAACAAACACAAAAGGAGCTCAGGCTGCCTCCCCCAGCAGGCCCGGATTCCACTCAGGGGCTCAGTTTGCGCAGCCCCAGCTCAGGGGGCTGGAGGCAGATCAAACCAGCTGGGGGACAGCACCCCAAACCCCCACAGAGGTGGGGTGCAAACCCAGCTGCTCGGGTGGGTGCAGGGGGGACCCCAGGAGGACCCCGCCCCCGGCAGCCACTGGCAGAGCTGGTTTTGCAGGGAAGCCACCACCAAGTGACCCGGCCTGGCCCCTGCAGACTCCGAGGTCAGCGCCCAGATCCACAAGTGCAAAGCGTCACGCGGCCCAGGCCCGGGCTGCAGAGCTGACACCAGGGTGCAGACAGCTGGCCGGTGAGGCTCCCCCAGACCCCGCAGGAAGCTGCAGGCCCGACCCTGAGCTGTTCGCAGGCCTAATTACTGCGGAAAGCAATTCGATTTCTACAAGGATCACACAGCTGAGCTGAGCTCCGGGTTGCAAGCTGAGGCCTGGCAGCCGGGCGGGGTCTGGGAAGGCCCAGCTCGCTGAGCACAGCTTGGCCTGGTCTTGGTTTAAGCCGAGGAGGAGGGCACACTTGCACAGCGCGAGGCGGGTGCACGACTGCACCAAGGCCAGGGTGCAGGTGGGGCGTTGGGGGGTCCCCGGAAACGCGAGCTGCAGGCTGGAGCAGCACAGACGCCCTTTCCTGCAAAGCGCTCGGCCTAGAAGCTGCTTTGTTTTTTAACTTGAAACGAAACCGTCGTTCGCCTTCGGGGACATTTGGGAAGCTGAGGCAGGGGGAGCCCGCGCACAGGGCAGCCCCCCAACTCCGGGAAGCCCCAGACAGTGTCATAAAATCGGGCAAAGGCTCGGCTGCCATTAGCCAAGGTCCAGCTCTCAGAGGCCTGGGTGCACCCCAGCGTTGCACAGGAAACGTTAAAAAAGTAAAATACGTTTCTGGAGCAGGCTGGCCGTGCAGCTCAGTGGGCGGAGCGTCGGGAACCACAAACAAGGCGCAGGTTCCACCAAGTAAAATAAAATCCTGCAAATAAAGTCATGCAAAGTGCACCCCGCTGAGCCGGGCGGGTGGCGCCCGCCTGTCACCCCGCAGTCGCCCGGAGGCTGAGGCAGGAGCGGTGGGGGGGTGCAGGCGGGCGTGCCCCTCCCCCACGCCCCTCCCCCTCCCCTCCCCCACGCCCCTCCCCCCAGCTCCTTCCGGGACAGGCCCGGCCCATCCCCCACTCGCAGGGTTTGGGGCGCAGGGGGGGCCTCTGGAGGCCCAAGTGTGTCGCTCTCGCCACGCGCTCCTCGGGAGGAAACGGGGGCGCGGGCACCCCGAGTGCATCCCGGCCCCCCCGCTGCTCCCCGAGCGCCCCGCGTCGCCCTCGCCCCTCCCCCCGCCGGGTCCCCAAAGCTGCACCGCGCAGCGCCCCGAATCCACCCCGCCCCGCCCGGTGACCCCGGGAGCCCCCCGAACCCCGACACCCCGACTCCCCGACACCCCGAACCCCGACTCCCCGACTCCCCGACACCCCGACTCCCCGCCGACCTGGACGCGCGAAGCCCCCGCGACAGCGACGCAGCAGCTGCAGGAGCAGCAGGGCGAGCCCCGCCGCGTAGACACGGAGCGCCGCGAGCACGCGAGCACGCGGGCACATGGCGGATCCGGATCCGGGTCGGGGAGGGGAAGGAGGGGGGAGGGGAAGGAGGGGGGAGGGGACGAGGGGAGGGGACAGGGTGGGGGAGGGGAGGAAAGGGGGCCACGCCGCCCCTCCCCCGCCCGCCTGCACCCGGGCCCGCCCCTCCCCCACGCCCCTCCCCCACCCTCCTGCTGCAGGCACCGAGGCCCGCCCCTCCCCCACGCCCCTCCCCCACCCTCCTGCTGCAGGCACCGAGGCCCGCCCCTCCCCCACGCCCCTCCCCCCTCCCGTGACCCCGCCAGGACCTCAGCCCGTGGCCACCGCGGGGTCCCCCCCCGCCCCCGTGACCTCAGGCCCCGCCCCCAGCCCCCTGCAGGCCCCTCCCCCTCCCCTGCAGGCCTCCCCTCCCCCCCAGCGCCCCAGCACCTCGGTGCGCCCCTCCCCCACCTCCCATCCCCCTCCCTCCCCCCAGCCCTGCTGCTGCGGGCTCCTCAGGTCCCCCCATGCTCATGGAGAACCCCCTCCCCGTGACCCTGCCATGACCTCAGCCCGTCACCACCCCAGTCTGCCCAGGGTCCCCCCTTTGCCCCTGGAGCCTCAGGCCCCTCCCCCAGGCCTCCCCTGGACGGGCCCTCCCCCTCCCGTCTCCCCCAAGTCCTGAGCCTGCACCCCAGTCGGGTGGGGGGAGGGGGATGGGATGGGGAAGGGGAGGTGGGGGAGGGGCGAGCCCAGGTGTAGGCGGCATCGGGGCGGGGGAGGGGCGGCGTGTCCCCCTTTCTCCCCCTCCCCCTCCCCTCCCCCTTCTCCCTCCCCTCCCCCTCCGTCCCCTCCCCCTCCCCCTCTTCCTCCTGGGGCGCCTCCACCTCTTCAGTCCTCCCCCCAACTTTAGGAACCACCATCCCCTGAGTGCACACGTTTAGGGGACCCCCCCCCGCACCCCCTCTGTGCCCTCAGACCGCCCCGCCCCCACAGCTCCCGCCTGAACCCCACGGGAGACCCGGCCCAGGCCCCAGCACTGCGGGCGCCTGCCCAGCCTGGTACCCCGGGACCTCAGGGCTCCCCATCGTGTGCTGGACACACACCCCAGTCCCCGGCACCCTGGGCTGCCTGTCTTGGGCACCCACTGAGCCCTGCAGGGACTGGGGGTGCAGGGGACCCCCCACACCCCCACTCCAGGGCCTTTGCAGCCCTCTTGCAAGATGGGGAAACTGAGTCCAGGAGGCCTCCCCAGGGTCTCAGGTGAGACCAGGGGCGCCCCCCACCCAGGCCCTCCCCACCCCCAAGAGTGGCCCGGGAAAGCCTGCAGGGGAGCTTGGGGTTCAGGGGAGCTTGGGGTCCAGGTCTGCACCCTGGACTCTGGAGGACCAGAACCAGGGTCTCCCCAGCACTGGTGGGCGGGTGTGGGGTGCAGGGGTGCCCACCCGCCCCAAGCATAGATCAAATTTCTGGGGGGCCTCCCCATGGGAGCAAAAGCAGCAGATTGGGGTCCCCCCCCCCCCCGGGCTCCTGCTCTGGAACCCACTTTTCCGAGGCAGGTTTCTCATCCTGCGCTTGGTGAATTTTATTTTTTTCCTCTGATTTAAGCATTGCTGGGGGAGCCGAGGCCCGGAGGGGCAGGTGAGAAGCCCCAGCCTCGGGGTCACTGCTGGGGTCCCCCGAGTCACGGTCCTTTATTCTACCCATCCGGGCTGGCTGTCCACTCGCCGCTCCCAAAGGGCATTGTGTGGGTCCCCCTTTGGGGACGGGGAGAGGGTGCCCTCAACTTACCTTGATTTCCCAGAAGGGCTTTGGGGGTTTGGGGGCTCAGCACTGGGCTGGGGGTTACATTTTGGCGGGGGGACCCTGGGGTTGGGGCGACTGGCACCATCCCCGCGTCCACCCCTGATTGCTGACGCCCTGCATCCCGGCCGGGGGACTCAGGACCAAGGTGGACGCTGGCTTGAGGCGCACGCGGCCCCTGAACCCCCTTACCCTGCCTGGTGCCTGAACGGTGTCATCCAGAGGCGGGTCCGGCTCCCTGTCCACCCCGCCTCGGGGTTCGAGGCCAGGGCAGGACCCGTGGGCTCTGGGCGACCTCCTGGGGTCACTGAGTTGCGCCCTCAGGCCTGCTGGCTCGAAGGTGGGTACACCAGTCCCGTTGCTGGGTCTGCTGGGTGCCCGGCTCGGGGCAGAGCGGCCCGCACGGCGGCCTGGACCTGCTGCAGACTCCTCTTGTTGTGAGCCCCCCTCACAACGAGCAGCTTTCGGGGTCACTGGGTAAACGGGCCTGAGCAGGACCCTAAGTGAGCAATGCGTTGCCTCCAAAATCCACACGGCCTTGCTCCCCTTTTCTGGGTGTAGGGGAGCCAGGTCCAGCAAGTCACCTTTTCCCTTAGGAAAGCAGGGGTGTCCCTCCGTGCCCCACGCCCGGGGCTCCGGGGAACCTCTCCGAGGTGCAAGGACCTTGGGGTGACCCGGGCTGGCCAGTTAGCTCTGAGGTGAGACGGTGCCGGGCACTGCTGGTCCTGGCCTTTGCTTGGAGAGCCTCCGGGCTGAGCCTCGAACTCAGACCCTTCCTCCCAGCTGGGTTCCAAGTTAGGGTTCAGTTCTTTACCCGGGGCTGGAGCTGGATTTTCCACCCCTGAGCTCTGCCTTTGCCTTTAGCACTGCATCCTCAGCGAGAAGTCCTGAGTTCGAGTCCTGGTACGGGAAAAAAAATTTTTGTCCTCAGAGTCAGAAGGCTCCAGGGTCCCTGAGGGTGTTTTGAGGTCACTGATTCCCTGTCCTGGTTTGTCCCCGAATGCTAAGACCATCTGGAAAGCCTCATCACACTTCCCACCCGGCTGGGTTCTGATGCCAGCACTCGGGAGGCTGAGGCAGGAGGATCGCTGTGAGTTCCAGGCCAGCTTGCAAAACACAGGGAGACTCTGTCTCAAGATAAAAACCAAAAAAATCCCTTGCACTGCCCCGAAGGTATTCAGAAAGATCCTGTGCGAAGTTCTTAAATTCCTTGTATTCCACATTTTAATGATACGGTTTTTCTGGGGGCACCGTGGGGTTTGGGGACCGAGGTGGACGGGTTCCAGCGTTGGATGTTTACAACTGCCTTTCTGCTGGATGGCGCTCGGCAGCGGCTGTCACCAGGTTTCTGATCTCAGCAGGTGCAGACCCTGAGGACCGAGGACCCAGAGCTGCTGGGACAGCGTCCGCGACCCGGGAGGAGCCGGGCAGAGCCAGGAGGATTCTGGGGATGCTTCATAGCTTGTGTCTTTTACGACAGGGTACTGTTTTTAAAAAATTAAAATGTCCGGCGAATTAGATCCACTGTTCAGGTATTTGGAAAGCAGGGTGTCTTTGTGCACAAGTGACGCTGTCTCTAGACCTTGTCTGAGTCCCCGAGCCCAGTGGTCACTGCAGACAGGAGACGCCCCTCCTGCCCGGGGACAGCCACTGGAGAGGGCCGCTGTCCTGCTCACAGGTTCTTTTTTGTGCTATTAATCCTAATGCAAATCGCCCATGTTTTTTTTTTCTCTGGATAACGGATAGGCGCTTGGGTACCATTTCCATGCACAAGGACCTGGTGACACAGAAGAATTATTCTTGGAGAGGTTTTGTTGCATTGCACTTTGTCAAAATGCATTCGCTTAGGGCTCGGGGTCCCAGGGGGTACAGAGCACAGAGCTGCAACTGCAGGGGTCCCTGCCGTGATGGGAGCGTCTCTCCTCCCCACACCGTCCACCATGATGCTCCCGCCTTGGAGCAGCCGGCCATGGACTGCACCCTCTGCACCCCTGAGCCACACTGAGCTCCCTCTTTAAGCTGTGTTCTGGTCCCCGGCTCCTCCCTTCTCTCTCTGCTTCCCGGCCACCGTGATGGGAGCGTCTCTCCTCCCCACACCGTCCACCATGATGCTCCTGCCTTGGAGCAGCCGGCCATGGACTGCACCCTCTGCACCCCTGAGCCACACTCAGCTCCCCTCTTTAAGCTGTGTTATGGTCCCCGGCTCCTCCCTTCTCTCCCTGCTTCCCGGCCACCATGATGGGAGCGTCTCTCCTCCCCACACCGTCCACCATGATGCTCCTGCCTTGGAGCAGCCGGCCATGGACTGCACCCTCTGCACCCCTGAGCCACACTGAGCTCCCTCTTTAAGCTGTGTTCTGGTCCCCGGCTCCTCCCTTCTCTCCCTGCTTCCCGGCCACCGTGATGGGAGCGTCTCTCCTCCCCACACCGTCCACCATGATGCTCCCGCCTTGGAGCAGCCGGCCATGGACTGCACCCTCTGCACCCCTGAGCCACACTGAGCTCCCTCTTTAAGCTGTGTTCTGGTCCCCGGCTCCTCCCTTCTCTCCCTGCTTCCCGGCCACCATGATGGGAGCCTCTCTCCTCCCCACACCGTCCACCATGATGCTCCCGCCTTGGAGCAGCCGGCCATGGACTGCACCCTCTGCACCCCTGAGCACACTGAGCTCCCTCTTTAAGCTGTGTTCTGGTCCCCGGCTCCTCCCTTCTCTCCCTGCTTCCCTGCCACCATGATGGGAGCATCTTGTTACCAGGGCTGTGTGCTGAAGGCTGGTCACCTGCCCCCCTGCCATGGGGAATTAATAAGTCCACAAAAGGGTGGGGCTTAGCACTGTGATGTCATCAGGGCGGGGCTTAGCACCGGAAGTGATGTCATTGGGGGCGTGGCCAGGAGGATCACTTCCTGTCTCTTGCCTTCCTGGTCGCCATGGTTTGAATTGATGTCACCATGTGGTCCCCACCACGGTGTGTCTGCCTCACCGAGGACACAGGATCAGAAGGGCCAGACGCCCACAGAGTGAAACCACCATCCTAAATAAACCTTTCCCCCTTGTGGGCTGATTGTCTTGGGTCTCTGCTCCCTGCACACCCTGATGGGTTATGCTGGCCACTGTAATCGCGCCCTTTGGGCTCTGGCTTCCTGGACTCCCTCATCCTGGGCTTTAGGGATGAGCTGGTCACCGCCTGACAATGCACATGCTGCTAGGTGACCTCAGTGGCCGACAGGAGTGGACGCGGGCTCCAGGATGGGCCAGGGGCTCACAGGGCGCTGTGCCCAGTGGGGAATTAACCCCTGAGTTGCTGGAGGGCAGTGAGGCTGCTCACCCTGGAGATGCATGTTTGCATCTCTCTTCTCGGGGTGTTCCCGCTCCTCCTCCTCCTCCCTGGTCCCCCCGAGGGGCGTAGCTTACAAAATTTTACTTAGGGCCGGGTGTGGTGGTGCACGCCTGTCATCCCCGCACTCGGGAGGCTGAGGCAGGAGGATGCTGTGAGCTCAGGGCCAGCCTGCACTGCGTGGCGAGACCCTGTCTCAGAGAGACAAAAGAAATACAATAAACAATAAATCGCACAGGCAGGATTTCGAGTGGGACTAACTGTTTGCTTGGCTTTTAGGGCTTCTCTTGTCCCCCGTGTCACGAGCAGCTGTGATTCTGCGGGGGCCGACGTGGGCATCCACAGAATGGCACGATGTCTGACGGAGGGCGAGGGTGGCCAGGAAACGTGATGGCCTCTTTGGGATCCGTTTCTAAATCCGGGAGCAATTTTACTTGCTTTGTTTGCATTGAGCGGAAGACAAAGGGGCAGGTGCAGATGACACGCTTGGGGGACGTGCCCTGTGTCCTTTACCCAAAATAGGGTGTCGTGCAAGACTGGGGCCCAGGCGCCACCCCAGCCCACAGAAGCAGCTCTCACATTTCCTGCAAGGAAATGTTCTTCCGTGGCTGATTGTGACTGCACAATTTTTGTCAAAGGTCGTTATTTCCAAGAGCACATTGTGAATTTGTGTGCAGAGTTTGATGATTGCCTATCAAAACTAGCTCTCCGACTACCTGTTGACAAAAAGGCACAGAAATCACAGCTTTGTCATCATTGTCAGTCTCACTGGTGTTGTTTTGTGCCGTCGTGGGTCCAGAGCATTAAATCTCGAAATGCCTAAATTCGCAGGGGCTTAGGCTGTGGGCACAAACCAACTCCCCCGATGACTGATGTCAACAAATATCACAAAAAAAAATAATTAAGCCATCCCTAGGGCTGGGGAAATAGCTCAGCCCCTCAAGCACTCGCCTGGTAAGCATGAGGTCATGAGTTTGATCCCCGGTCCCCCAAAAAGAGATGAATAAATAAACAAAACAAGCCAGGCCAGCAGCTGTTTCTCTTTGAACCTCCTGTTTGAGCAGTGACTCCGAACCCCAATTCACAGGCGGTGTCTGTCCTCAGAGATGGAGGGAGGAGACGGGAGGGGTGAGGAAGAATTCGGGGGGCTGTGCACCCCCGTGCCGGGCTCGCGAGGGGGACTTCTGCAGAGAGAAGCAGCCGTGCACCCAGGCCAGTGCCCACGGCTACCGCGTCACCAGGTGACCCCTCGGGGCCAGCACCGGCTGGCCTCAGCTCGTACTGCTTTGTAGATACTTTGTGCTCCTCCCTTGGCTCACGGGAGCCCCGGGAAGGCCGGCCTGTGTTTCCCGAGCAGCGTGACTAGCTAAGCTCCCCGCTGCACACTCAAGGCTGGCAGGGCGCCCCTCCTGCAGTGCACGCTTCATCCCACAAAAGCCAGATTTTGCACGTCACGTGGAGGGCCGCACCGCAGTCCTGACGCGCGTGCGTCAGGGTCATTCACGGGACATCACCGTCCTTCTTCATGGCAGCATAGTACTCCGGGATGCATAAACACCACTTTTTTTTTCTTGTAACACAAACATGCGCCGGTAAAAATTGACTTAAAGCCTTTTTATGCTCCGATTTTGTAACTTGAGCAACTATTTCTGAGACGGCATTCGGTGATTTATCACCTAGTGGTTTCACACTGTTCTTTTTTTTGAAATGCTGTATTATTTTTACCATTTTTCTGTCTTGCTTTTTTTCTCTCACAAAATGGAATTTGTCACAGAAAATAGTTTACTGCGAGTGCTATTTCTGTAGCCTACTTTCTGAAAGCAACACACACACACAGTCGACTGCGCCCCCCAAAGCTGGGTGAGTCCGCACACGTTTCTGAATGCAGCTCTGAACTCCCGAGGCCCAGATCTTTCATGTTTGTACGGATTAAACGTCCTTTTCCGCAGGAATCACACCGTGAAAAGAGTTCGGTCTGCAGCGTGGGGAGACCGAGCGAGGAACAAATCCTCACCACGCTCGGCACGCTGAGATCAGCTGCAGCCTGCAGCCCAGGTGACTCCCTGCCGGAGGTGCTTGACTTCTAAAAGGACTTGTGTTTGTTGATGTGTTTATAAATAGCCACTGTCCTACTTTCCTGTGAAGTGGTCACGGCACAGATAGCTCAAAATAAAGTCTGGGCCGTTTCTTTTGCTTTTTCCTCTCCTGCTTCTCTGGCTAAGTGTTTCCTTCCGAGTCTGCAGAGGATTTGTAGAGGTCGTGTACGCGGTTGATGAACATTCCACAGTGACGGGGTGGATTTCTCTGGACCTTTTAATAGCTCTGCGCTGAACTCGGGGCCTTTGCAGGGAGCTGCAGGTTCTGGCCTATTGGGTTTTCACTTTGAGACACGGTCTATCTAATTTTCTGAAATGCTCAAGCTGGGTTGAAACGTAAACCCTCCTGCCTCAGCCTCCCAGAGCGCTGGGATTAGCGGCCTGCTTCACCGTGCCCGACTTTTCCTGGCACATGGCTGGGTCACCTTCCCTACGGCTATTTCTCTTTTGAACAATCTCCCCTGAGTGGGCCTGACAGATGCCTCAGTGGTACAGCCATGAAATTCTAGATTTAATACAGTACCAAATAATAATAATAATAATTGAACAATCACTTCTGCAATCTGCAAACCGGTGTGTCACGGAAGTGAGCCTGCGGTGGTGGCGCTGGCCTGTCCTCCCAGCACTGGGGAGGCTGAGGCAGTGAGCTCCCGGGCAGCCCAGGCTATAGAGTGACTGTGTGACCACCCCGCCTGCTTAGTGAAACCCTGTCTCAGAAAAGCAACACAAGACGGAATAAAACAAAAGGCCAACCATTTGCAGGCCGGACATGGGGGGCATCACAAGGCCCGCTCGGGCACCGCCTAGGATCTGGGACCCAGCAGGCGGTCCATGGAGGAAGATACAAGAGACTCAGTGTTTCCTCAGCAGGCTGGAAAATGGGTCAGCACGGTGGGCTCGGCCATGGCCGCTTCCCCAGTGACCTCCGTGCTCGGCTGTCTGTGCACTGTCATGGCTGAGACCTGACGTGTCCCCCGAAAATCTCACACCCTGAGAGGAAGGTGGTGGATCCCGGGGTGCAGGGCTCCTCAGTGGACCCGTCCAGGGGTGAGGTCCAGGCTGACCGTGTGCAGGACGTGGGCACCGGGGAG